CAATCGCTCACAGTAGTTGTAAAGGTCCCGAATAATATTGGGATCGAGGGTGCCATTACGTGGCCATTTGGACTGATTATCTAAATGGTATTTAGGCCAAATTTTATTGCAAAAGCGAATAAGTTTAGAACCCTTTAGTTCAGGTGTCAGGTGTAGAGACTTGAGGTTTTCTAGGAGGCATCCCAAGGGGGAATGGGAGGGTACGGATGACACGGTTCCCATGGATGAGAAGGAAAAGGTCACTGCAGCCTGTAGTCAAGGGCGTCCCCAGGACTCAGGGAGGACCACCGAAAGAGGACCAAGCCGTTCAGAGGGTCGTCACCCAACTCAACGGGGGTCAGGCTTAGCCCGGCTAAGCCAGAAGAGACTCGGCGCCTGGTACCAGGGCTTTTCTAGAGGCCAGAAGGCGTAGACGGAAACCGAGCTCTAAAAGGGTCTCATCCAAAGGAAAGGGTCAGGATTGGAATCGTAGAAGCCGCAAGGGCCTAGAGGAGCTGTGCAACGACAGCCAGCTCCAAGGGAGGAGGTCAGGAAGGGACGCAATGACCCGGTGGGGCCTAAGGAAACTGCAGGATTGCAATTTCAAGGGTGGTAGGCTGGGGTAAGGTGAGGAGGGTCAGCTGTAGCCTTAAGGGCCTTGGCTGGGGTACCTCCGTCTCTACAAGTATCCCTGACTTAGGGAGCTGAAGGGGAGACTTACCCAATCGTTGATGGTGGATGTAGTGTCAAGCGATTGGTGAGCTGGAAGGCGAGTCTGCTGCAGGCCAACTGGAGATGAGAGATAGGGTCCCAGTGCGGCTCAGACCACGAAGGGGAGCACAGGCACCAGGAGAGCCTATCCAAGTCACGGGTAGACTGAAGATGAGGGATAGGATCCCAGTGCGGCTCAGACCATGAAAGGGAGCACAGGCACCAGGAGAGCCTATCCCGGGTTTCGGCACCAAATGTAAGCGTTTCGTCGGGATGGGTCAGGACAGGATGGAACAGGAGTGGGTTAGGTATTCTGGCACTCGGGAGTCACAGAATACCCAGTGTTACACAGCTCAGGTGGAAAGGTATCCTGGAGCTCGGGAGCCAAGGATACTGAGTGTTACACAGCTCAGGTAGAAAGGTATCCTGGAGCTCGGGAGCCAAGGACCACCACGGGTTGCAGTAAGCTTGGCAGCTTACAGCCTTGCCTCAGAGAAAGGCTTCTCCGGTGTGTCAGCTCCGCTCCGGCACGGCAGGACAGGGTCTTCCAGCTGGGGATGTTCGCCTAGTGTAGCAGTTTTGCTCCGCAGGAGGTTTCTCGGGCGAAGTTGCTACAGTTCAGCTCTGCTCCTGGAGAGCCGAGCGGAGAGCAGGGAGCCGGGCGGGAGCAGAGTGTAACAACTCCGCTCTGCCAAGGAAGGTTTCCCGGGCAAGTGTTACAGCGCTGCTCGCTCTGCTCTGCTCTGCTCTGCCCAGGGTCGCCTCTGCTCGCTCTGCTCTGCTCTGCCCAGGGTCGCCTTTGCTCTGTCGCAGCCGCAAAGAAGATCTTCACCCCGAAGCTCATCCAAAGGTGTTTATTGGAAGACAGCTGGACCAGCCAAGCTGAACATACACAGGGTTTATATAGGGGTTCCTGGGGTTGGGGAAGTTTTTCCAGGGTAGGGATTGGTCCGATTTCAGTGCTGAGCTCAGATTGGCTAGAGCTCTGCTCCGGGATTGGTTACTTTTTTACACAGGATTAGGGTCAGATTTGGCTCTGGTTTCAGGGCCAAAGTGTGTTTCTTTCTCTGGTCCTTTTTAGCCTTTTGGCTCCAATTTTAGGGCCAGGGTACATTTCTTTCACTGACTCTGATTCCAGGGACAAAGTGTGTTCCTTTGGCACTGGTTTTAGGGTCAGGGTACATTTCTTTGGTTCTGGTTGCAGGGCCAAAGTGTGTTTCTTTGGCTCTGCTCAGGGTGTGTTTCTTTGACTGGTCCCTTTTCCCTACATCCATGAACTTAAAAATCCTATGATGCCAGAAAGCCTCCTCCAAGGGATATTTTTGCATGTATGAATGCAGAACATCCTATGTAAGAGAACACACATGTGTTCCTCTTCTACTGCCACAGGAATACACATATAGACCTGCACATGCACATTAAGCAGGTGCCTTCATTAGTTCCTTGCTTCTGTGAAGATACCATAACCAAGGCAACTTACAGTTCCAGAGGGTGAGTCATGGTCGGGAGTACGGCAGCTGGGTGCTTACACCCTATCTGTGAGTCAAATAGGAGAGAGAGAGAGAGAGAGAGAGAGAGAGAGAGAGAGAGAGAGAGAGAGAGAGAGAGAGAGAGAGAGCACAAGAGCCATAAGAGCGCTAACTGGGCCTGGGCTTTTGAAACCTTAAAGCCCACACCCAGTGACACACCTCCTCCAACAAGGCCACGCCTCCTAATCCTTCCTTAATAGTTCCAGCAGCAGGGAACCAGCATTCAAACAGAAACAGCCTTAGGGGTGAGGGCATTCTTGTGCAAACCCCATAAAGAAGAAAATGATATCATAATGCATTGTGTGTGTGAGTGTGTGTGTGTGTGTGTGTGTGTGTGTGTGTGTGTGTAACTTACCTAGAAACTTAACCTTGGATCCATGGATCCATCCCTTTCTTTTCAAAAATGTTATCCTATTACATCTCGAAAGCACCTACATTGCATGGTGAAGTAAGTTATAGGCTGCTCGTTTTCTTTTGTGTGGTGTTCTGGGGGGAGGCTAGCGACAGAACCCAGACTGGCCTAGAACTCCTGTCTTGGCTCTTTACATTCTAGGACTCAGGCATGTGTCCCTACCCAAACTAAGCTGTTGGTTGGGCCTTAACCTGCACACAATTGTGACTTGAACAGACTTTCCGAATCTCATTCCAGAGTAGCCCTACACATTCTCTGTTGTTTTACTATGGCCTTGATTGAGCTGGGACCTCATGCAAGCCCACCCCACCCCCACCTCCCGAAACACGCACTCACACCCCATCTGCAGAGGCAGGGAGTCAGTGGCCCACAAGCTCCCGGTGGTGTAACGATGGCTGTGCAGCCTAGAGTGGGCTGCCATGACTGCCCTCAACAAGGCAGGAGGGAGGAGAACCTCTGGCAGCCTCCCTGGAGGCAGGCAATTTAGACGCTCTTAGTTCTGCTCTCAACCCTTCCGCTAGCACAGTGGCCATGTGTCCGCAGTTCGCACCCCCAGAGTCCCCTCGGCAAGTCCTGCACACGCTTTTCTGGCAGAACTCACCTACTAAGTTCATTGGAGCTTGACCGAGATTGGGGTCATATTCATTTTCTGAGACTCTCAGCCAATTTAAAAAAAAAATGAAATAGCCAGAAGGGTTATCAGAGCCATGTCTGGAATCTGGCCACCGAACAAGTAAACACTCTTTAACAAACACGGAACCCTGTAATCACACTGGTCACAGATAATTACAAGATTCATAGACAATATTAATTCGTAATGCAACTGCAGATGGTGCAGTCCGGGAATGGAACGCAGACGGGCGGCCGTATGAAACACAGCGTTCTTTATGCATAAGTGACTTGGGCAAGACTAAATTTGGGCAACTTTCTAAACGTGAAGCAGGACACAAGACACATTCTTTCTGTGGCCACTCGGCCCAGTTACTCAACTGGAGCAGAAGGGGCTTGGTGTGTAGCCCTCTATAGCCCGCGTCTGTGTTCTGAGGCCGGTGCGTTTTACAGGGTCTCAATTGTGAATGCTCCAATCTAAGTCATATTCATGGTTTGATCGTTTGTTCCTCCGTCTATGGCACCATTTGGGGAGGCCCTGGAGCCGAGAGGAGATGGGTCCAGCTGCAGGAAGCAGGCAGTGGAAGTGGGTTTTGACAGACAAATAAACTGTTGGGTTTTTTTTTTTTTGCCCCAGTTTCCTGAGCCTGGATCTCACATTTCCATGCCCACCAACCCTCCGTGCCTTTTCTGCCACGATGAACTTAAAAACCTTTGACCCATGAACCCAGACAAGCCTTCCTCTTCAAGCGGTTTCTCTCCGATGTTTTGGTCGCAGCCATGTGGAAGAACCTAGTAAATCAATGGACGCAGTTTGGGTTATTGTATTAAAACAAACAGTGGGGGGGGGGATGTTCGTCTACTTCTGGAGTTGTGATGAGGGCTTAAGAGATAGAGGTGAGGACTCTGGGACATGGAGGAGTCGGTTCTGAGCTGAGCCAGGAAACGGGTTCAGGGTGAGGCAAGTGGGTTCTTGGCCACCAACAGTAGAAGTGGTACGAGCTTGGGTGAAGAGCCTGGGGGTTCTGGGACAGGCCCAAGAGATGGATCCTGGACAAGAATGAGGATTCTAGGCCATGGCAGAGATGCATGCAGGGATTGGAAGCAGTAGGTTCGAGGACAGACACAGATGGGCTGTGGGCTGGCATCCCACCCCACGCTCCCAGAACGCCCAAGCACTGTTCCTCGGTGCCCACGCTTCCCCGAGCGCTCGCAGCGCGGTGTCCCCAGGCCCGGCTCAGTAGCCCCTCTCTCCCTCCTGTGAGCTGGGCAGAACCGGCCGCTGCTGGCTAGACTGGGCCTCCCTGTGGGCAGGCGCCAGGTCTGCAACAGCTCCAGTCGGCAGCGCCCAGGCAGAGCATGGAGCCACGGATCGTCCAGGCTGTTCCATTTGCAATTTCATCCCACGTGTCCGCGGGGCCTCAGAAGTGTGTGGGGGATCCATCACAGGCAAGAGGGGCAAGGGGGAAGGACACCGAGGGGAAGAGACACGGGAGGGAGGACCGAGAGGAGGGGATGCAGGAGGAAGGACCCAGCGGGTACCCAGGGTGATTGAAACCCGAAGACCCGGAGCCTGAGGCTCGCACCTGGCGCGCGGCGGGGCAGGGAGTAATGCGCAGAGACAATCCCCGCCCCCCCCCCCGGCGTACACGCGCGGCAGGTGCACGCGCCGGGGGTCCCGCCCCCTCCCCGCCGCCCCCTCCCCGCCTACAGGCGCGCGCGGCATTGTGGGAGTTGTGGTCCTCGGGGCGGCGGAGCGCAGCGCGGGCGGCACCAGCTCGGTGGGGCTCGCGGCTCGGGCCGGGCGGCTGCTGCGGGCGCGGCAGGAGGCGGCCGCAGTCTCCAGGGCAGTGGCGTCGCCCGGGTCCCCGCAGCCGCCGGCGCAGGTAAGCGGCGTCTACCGGGGCTGTGGGTCGGCGGAGGACGATGCTCTGAGCGCCCGCTCCTGCATCCCTGGCCGCCCCAGGGCCCGCGGTCGCCTAGCACCGGCTGCGTGTTGAGTGCCGCTCTGGCTGGATTGCGCCGCGCAGCATCACCCCCGCCTCCTCTCCTCCCCCTCCTCCTCTCTTTCTCCTCCTCCATCGCCTTTTCTCCTGGTTCCCCCATTCCTCCTCAGCATCATCCACCGCCCTGTCCCATGAATTGTCACGCGCCCCCGAACCTCCTTGCCACTTTTCCAGCTGGCCCTCACCTCAGCATCTCATACCCTGACTACTGGCATCACCACCTGCTTTAAAGCATCTTTCTGACCTCGCTCCTGTCGTACTCTCTCCAGGGCCTGTGACACTGGCGGGAGACTGTGAGGGTGGAAGGTCTCTAGAGGGGAGGGCTTGTTTCAGGACTGCTCTCAGGTTTAGGGTAGAGAAGACAGCAAGCATCACACAGCCGTCCTTATCTTTCGTGGGCTGTGCTGTGCCTTGCAGGGGAACTTCCGGGGTCTCCTGGCTTCACCTCAGGGTGACCCGGGCTCTTTAGTATCAGATAGCGTCCTGAGCTGGTCATCTGATCCGGATTAACTAGGTCAAATGGAGACTGCCCCCCCCCCCGGCATTCCTCGTGTTAGAAGTTATCTTTGATTGAATTTGAATCTGGCCTTTATTCCCCAGAGCCCAATGATGTTTGAGATCTGAGGTGGAGGACTGCATGGTGCCCATCCCTGATGGTAACGGGTGTGTGGAGAGAACCAGAAGTGTGCATCCAACCATCCCTCCCGCTGCCACTCACTCTACCAAAACTAGAGTTGTTTTCTTGTCACAGGTCAGCTCCGGGCTTGCACATCCTTCCCTGGATGTGGGGGCAGGCAGCCTCTTGGGGCTAGTTCCCAGTTCACTCTCTTAGCACTGAATTTGATCTCGTGAAGTGGTTAGGGTCTCTCCTTGCTGAATCTTTTACTGTTCTACCTTGAGGAGAGCTCTTGTCTTCTCTATCCAGAATGAAGCTGTTCTGAGGAGGGGAAGGACCAACAGCCCTGGAGAGCTCTCCCAGCCACCTACCCAGGGTGTGTGTGTGTGTGTGTGTGTGTGTGTGTGTGTGTGTGTGTGTCTGCATTTTGACATGAGCAGGCTGGTGGGAACTCAGTTTCGCTGGCTGGGTACTGCCACCAACTCAGTCTCAGGGCATCCGAGGAAACCTAGCTGCCGAAGGCAATTTTAAGAGTTGTGGTTTGGGGAGGAAACGTGTTTCCTCACCCTGGTGAGTGTCTCACACAGAATTTCGGGAACCCTAGGCTGTCTTGAAGCGCAAGTGCAAAGAAGACACCTTTCTGGGGGCTTTTTCCCTTTTCCTAAAGTGGAAACAGCAGAGTGATGCTATCACCCATGGAGGCGGGGCGGGTGAGGGCACTTAACACCTGGGCCCTGCATCCTGGGAAGGAACTGGCTTCTCGTCTCCCCATCCCTGTACTTTTCCTAGAAGCATGGGTCCCCATGAATATTCAGCATGTGTGTTTTTGACTTCCTAAACACTACAGTCAAGTGATTCTTTATTCCGCCGACACCGGGATGATGCCAGTAGGTGGTGAAGGAGCAACAAAAGTTTTCCTTGAGTCCAGGAGTGGACCTCACCCCGAGTCAGGGTGTTTCAGCCTTTGCCTTCTGCTTGGGGTGGGAGCCTGGGGACATGCTCCATGTTTGGTTTGCCCATCAATGGCACATGAAGGGCTTACAGTAATGTCATCCCCAGCTAGCAAATAGATGAAGACACTGAGGCTTGGAGATGAAAATGCCCTGCGAAAGGCTGGTGTCCACACCCAGTCAGGTCCCTGTCTAGTTTGCGTGTGCAACTTCTCTGCTATGCTGCAGACTTCCAGGCCTAGCGGGTCCAGGCAGCAGGAGACACAGTTTTGCTGTCCTTGTCCCCTATTCTCCCCCAGGGGGGAGGGAGAGCCCTGAAATGCTCCCAGCTGTGTCCCACCAGGTGATGGAGGGCTTTCTGGAGTACGCAGACCTGGCTGTTCAGCCACCTTGGAAATGGAGGGGCGGACAGAGTGTTTCCGAGAAACTGGGGGACACTCTGGGTTCCAGAGACTTGGAAACGGAGGGGCGGACAGAGTGTTTCCGAGAAACTGGGGACACTCTGGGTTCCAGAGACTTGGGGTGCACAGTTGGCTTTGCGTTGTTTTCCACAGCAGTTTGGGCTCCACCTCCCCAAAGTAAGATGAGCAGCAAAGCAGCTCCACTGCTGTCAGAGGAGGGAAACTGAGGCAGGGACTTGGAAGGCTTCTGCTTTCCCTGTGAGTGAGGCCATTGGGTCACCTCCCAGCTGAGCGGCAGAAAGAGGCGTATCTGCCACAGGCGCCATTCCAGGGCACCACTTCCTGGATATCAGCCCGATTTACCACATGCTCGAGAAGAGAAAGGAGAATGTGCCATTGTGACAGCCCCCCCCCCCCCCGTTGTCACATTTGATGATGCATTTCCATTCTCCTGAGACTGTCACTATTTAGGACTTTTCTAGTCACAACTTTCATGTTGCTGTTTTCTTTTTCCATCCCAGGTTTGGACATCATGAAAACCCTTTCACAGTGACTGACTGCCTTTGCTAATGGGATATACAGAAGCCCCCTCCACCCAGCTTCAGTGACTTTTACTGGTGGGCCCCATCGGCAGGCCTCATCAATGGCGCCCCTGGCAGGAACTGAGGGACAGTGGCAGCTATGCCTCCCTGTGCTCCAGCCACTCCTCCCACCTTCTGCTAACCTGCATGCTGTGGGTGCCCTGGCCATCCCCCGAGGACTGATCATCTGAGACTGTTTCACTCCGAGTACCGAGTCCCTCAAGATGTGGCTGGAGTGGCTGGTGGCCTGGAGCTGGTCTCTGGATGGCCTGAGGGATTGCATTGCCACTGGCATCCAGTCTGTGAGGGACTGTGACAGCACAGCCGTTGTCACTGTGGCCTGCCTGCTGGTCATGTTTGTGTGGTACTGTTACCATGTGGGCCGAGAGCAGCCTCGACCCCATGTGTCCGTCAACTCCCTCCTGCAGGGAGTGGATGCCAACGGGCTACAGAACGGGTCCATGTACTGCCAGTCACCCGAGTGTGCGCGCTGTATGCACCAGGACGGCCTCAATCAGAAGCTTTACCACAACCTGCAGGAATACGCCAAGCGGTACTCATGGTCTGGCATGGGCCGCATCCACAAGGCCATCCGGGAGCAGGGCCGCTACCTCAGCAGCCAGCCCTCCATCCAGAAACCCGAGGTCTTCTTCCTGCCTGACCTCCCCACTACGCCCTACTTCTCCCGGGACGCCCAGAAACACGATGTGGAGCTGTTGGAGCGGAACTTCCAGGCCATCCTCTGCGAGTTTGAGACACTCTACAAGGCCTTCTCTAACTGCAGCCTCCCGCAGGGGTGGAGAGTGAATAGCACCCCCAGCGGGGAGTGGTTCACCTTTGACTTTGTCAACCAGGGCGTTTGTGTCCCCAGGAACTGCAGGAAGTGCCCACGGACTTACCGCTTGCTCGGCAGCCTCCGGACCTGCATTGGAAACAATGTTTTCGGGAACGCTTGCATCTCGGTGCTGAGCCCTGGGACTGTGATCACGGAGCACTATGGACCCACCAACATCCGCATCCGGTGCCACCTAGGTAGGTGGCGGGGGCAGAGCCCCAGCATGCGCATTCACCAGAGCCTCAAGTAGCTGGGTGTCTTTACCTCCTGAGTGCTTTGGTCAAATACAGATGGCATTCAGCTGGGTGCAGTGGCACACACCTGCAGTCCAAACACTCAAGAGGCTGAGGCAGGAGGGTCGAGACTTGAAGGGCTAGCCTGCACTATATGTTCACCTGTCTGAATGTGTGTGCTGAGGTCGGAGGTCCGCATTGAGTCTTGTTTCTCAGGACCTGTCTACCTTGTTTTTACAGGATCTCTCTGGGACTTGGGGCTCATGGCTAGGTTAGGCTAGCTGGCCTCAAGCCGCTCTAAGGGGGGGGGTGTCTGTCTCCCTGTCTCTGATTTCCCAGCGCTGTGACTACATGTATGTGCCTCAGTTCACAGGCTGAAGCTCCAACTCAGGTCCTCATGGTTGTACCACAAGCGCTTTACAAAACTTGCGTCTCAGAAAAGTTTTCCCCGGTGGTGGGCCTATAAACAACAGTGATGGCAGAATGTGAACCTCGATTCTTTTTATTCTCTCAAACTCCATCCTCCTGTGGTGCCTGAGATGGAACCCAGGCACTCAGACATGCTGTCTGCCACCAGGCCATACACCAGCCTAAATCTAGCATCTGGCAGGAAAAGCTCTCTTAGAAAGAACTTTGGAGGAGAGGTTGGTGACAGTGTCCTCTATCTTTCCCGTCCATTGAGTGAGCAGCTGGCCACATGTGACTGCAGAGGGCTCAGGCTGTGGTTAGTGAACCGCTGACTTCAAGTTTTCACTTAAGTTTGCATATCCAGGTATGGCTGGTGGCTGCTGTGCCTCTGTGGTGGCCGACACGGAACCCCCGGGGGTTCTGGCGATGACAGAGGTCTCCGATGGTACCCGGAAGACTGTGAAATGTTTATTTAAACCTTCTGAGTCACCACAGATCAATGGTGGCCGGTGTTCTGGTCACTTCATTCAAAGTCTGGGAATCTTATGCACTGTGTGTGTGTGTGTGTGTGTGTGTGTGTGTGTGTGTGTGTGTGTGTGTGTGTGTGTGTGCTGTGCAAATTGAGTGTCAAGTTAAGCTGCCTTTTTATCTAGCCCAACCGTGAGGGAGCTGTGCTACCTTGGGCAGGTTGCTTCCACAGAAAGTGAGGCAGCAGTCCTCCCTCCATCATGAGGTGTGTCTCAGAGCCGTCACCAGAGCTAGGTGCAGAGTGAGGTGCATGGAGGCAGACTTCACAACAATGAACTACCTTCTTCCTGGTGAGTGGTGACAGAAGGCTGGTGACAGAGGCCATGGCCTTGCTGGTGAACCTGCTAGAGTGTGCTGAGCTAGGTGGCAGCTGCAGGAGGTGGGGGACGTGGAGGATGGGTGTCCTGAGCGGGGTGTGGTGGGGTTTGCTAGTGTGTTTTGCAGGGAGCCTGTGCCAGTTGCTAGCACCCCCCCCACACACACACTCATCTCGCCCCAGCAGCTCTGTTGCCTCTGCTCTCTGGGTGAGGATTCTGGGTAAGGTACGGGACTGAAGATGCCCGTGCTGAGAAGCAAAAGGAAGGAACATCATCAGAGGGTGGCTGTGGATGGGGATTTGACAGGCAGTTGGAACAAGGTGGAAGCTTGAAGCTGGAGTCTGGATCCACGGGCAGCTGTGGGGCTGGGCAGAGCTCGAGTCTCCATAGACCTCATTGCCTCTCTGCAAAGTGGAAACACATCAGCGGTGCTGTGGAGAAGGCTGGGGACACAACTCACTAAGTGGCCATTTGGCATAGTGCCTGGCAGTCTCTCCTGAGCGTGGCAGTGGCTCTCATGACTACACAATGCTCTCTAAAGGCACAGGCTCTTCCCCAGGAGACAGTGAACCTCAGGGCTCTGGTGGCCGGCAGGACCTGGACTGAGCTCCTCACTCAACCCCCACTGTCAGACCCTGGAGGCCAAGCTTTGAAACGGGGGTGGGGTGTGCTCAACTCTGCCTTCAGGGCTGTTTGAGGAAAAGTAAGAAGCAGTTTGTGCATTTGAAGTTCTTGGCAGGCAGAGGCCATCACTATTACCAGGTAGGCTTTGATTTGATCCACATGATGGCTTTGGTTAATAAACCTCTGGCAAGAGCCCATGAAGGTAGCTGGGCTGCAAACAGCTGGAAGGCTGAATGAGGTAGGGTAGACCAGGGGGGAGCAGATGACAGACTTGGGCCAGGCTGGGGCTCAGGGCTGTTGGCAATGAGAGTGAAGATTTTCTTTTGAAAGGTCTTGCTTTGTGGGAGCTTTTGATTTACACGGTGCTGGGATGAACCCCAGTCTCATGCATGCTGGGACAGTGCCGAACCACAGAAGTGCATACTCGGCTACCTACCGTGCTGTTCAAACGCTTTGGCATGCAGAGTAGGGGAAGGCCTGGAAGATTGATGTGGTAGGAATCCAGGGGTGCTGAGTAGGCAGGCTGGGAGAAAGATGTGTAGGTCTGGATGCCCGTGTTAATGCCTGATCCGTGTGTACCATATACGTTGTGGGTACAGGCATGTGTGAAGAATGTGCACACCTTGTCTTGGTGATCACTCCCTTCTCGGAGCAGCTAGTAACTTGCAGGAATGAATGGGTTCTTGATAACCCTGGATGAGGCAGAAGATGATTTATTGAAGGGGCCCTGCTGTAAGCTGGTTGTGTATGGATGAAGCTGGTTTGGACCCCGCAGCCCTGGATTCCCATGGTTCCAGGACTAGACATCAGGAATTCTTGAGGACATGAGGACATCAAGCTACTGATGTAAGCAAAAGAGTCTAGGACCCAGACCAGATGAAACGGGCAAAGGAGTTTTGCTGAGGACCTGGGTGGTAGCCAGCACTGCCTCACCAGTCCCCTGTCCCTAGAAAGACTGACAGATGGGCTGTAAAGGACAATTCCATGTTCTGGGTGGCTTTCAGACAACAGAAAAGGGCTGGAGATATGGCTCATTGCGAGTAGGTGAAGGTACTTGCCTTACAAGCCTGATGACCAGAGTTTGATTCTGGGAACCCACAGTAGAAGGACAGAGCCACGTTGTTCTCTGATGCTCACACACATGGCGGTGTCAGGCACACCCCAACAATAATAATAATACAATTTTTTTTGGTTTTTACGAGACAGAGTTTCTCTGTATTGTTTCGGAGGCTATCGGTCCAGCCCGGCCTCGAACTCACAGAGATCTGCCTGCCTCTGCCTCCCGAGTGCTGGGATTAAAGGCGTGCGCACCACTGCCCGGTTATAATAATACAAATTTTAAAGTTAAAAGAGAACAGCTGGGTGGTGGTGCCTGTACTTAGGAGGCTGAGGGTAGGAGAATTGCAAGTTCAAGGCCAGCCTGGATAAAACAGTGAGACCCTGTCTGAACAAATGAAACAATAGTCCAGAGGTGTACTCCTCATGGTTCTGAGGCTGGAGGTCCAAGGTGGAGCTCTGTGAGGTCGAGGCTGCTCTGACTGCCAGGTGGGTGTCTTAGTCAGGGTTCCTATTTGCTGTGATGAAACAAAACACATGAGCAAAAGCAAGTTGGAGAGGAAAGGGTTTATTTGGCTTACACTTCCACATCATAATCCATTATTGAGGGAAGTCAGGACAGGAACTCAAACAGGGCAGGAACCTGGAGGCAGGAGCTGATGCAGAAGCCATGGAGGGGCGGTGCTTACTGGCTTGCTCCTCCTGGCTTGCTCAGCCTGCTTCCTGATAGCACCCAGGACCACCAGTCAAGGGATGACCCCACCCACAATGGCTGGACCCTCCCCCATCAATCACTAATTAAGAAAATGTCTTACAGTCAGATCTTAGGGAGGCTCCCTCCTTTCAGATAACTCTACTTTGTGTGCCAAGCGAGCATAAGACTTGCCAGCACAGTGGGTGTGGCACCCTCTTGCTGTGACCTCTTGCGGTGCAAAAGTCCGTTTTATAAGTATAGTTCCCATCCATGACCTAATCCCCAAAGATCCCTAACACCATCGTCTCAGGGTGGTCTCTGTCTCTGAATTATGAGTCACGGATAACCCACGGTGTGGACTCCAGGGGAGTGTGTGGAAGACCTGGAGCTTTCGAATGTTCCCTGGAGCAGCCCAGCTCCACCATCTACAGCCTTGGACCCTGGCCGCCTTCACTCTCAATCCTGTGTTTTCCCCCAAGGTCTGAAGACTCCCAGTGGCTGTGAGCTGGTGGTGGGGGGTGAGCCCCAGTGCTGGGCAGAAGGTCGCTGCCTGCTCTTCGACGACTCCTTCCTGCACACTGCATTCCACGAAGGTGGGCGTTGCCTCTCCCAGAAGTCTCCCACCTGCTTGCTTTATGGTTATTAGACTTTCTTAAAGAGAAGTTTTCGGGTTCCAGACAACACTGACCAGGAATTCCTAAGCCCCCCGCCACCTCACCTTCCCATGTAGTCTCCCCACATGGAGAGCTGATTCTATAGGTGCTGAGCCAACTTCACCCAACAGTCACCACCTAAAGACTGTTGTCACATTCAGGTTCACTCTCAGTGTCAGACGTTCTGTGGGCGGGGACAGCAGTTTGCAGACTATGTCCACCGTGATAGTTCCAAAGCCCTGCCCAGTTTCCCTCCCCTTTTTCCTTTCGTCCGCCTTCCTCGCAGACATGGGAGAGGCCTCATGAACATTGCCCATCTGGGAAGGGGAGGTCTTCCCATACCCACTGGCCCTCAGGTCAGGCCACATTGAGTGTGCCAGGGCCAACCTGACCCCCTTACGTTTCTCCTCCCCAGGTTCCGCTGAGGATGGTCCCCGGGTGGTCTTCATGGTGGATCTCTGGCACCCCAACGTGGCAGCTGCCGAACGGCAGGCCCTGGATTTCATCTTTGCTCCAGGACGATGAGGACGTTGCCTGGGCTGGAGCCAGGCTGTGTGGGTCCCAGGTGGACTGTGGGACAGCCGAGTCCCTGCCCTGATCCACAGTGGAAGCTCAGGTGGCTTCCTGTCACTGTGGGGGCCCTCTCTCCTTTGGTTACTGGGAACATCCTAGGTTTCTTTCCCCTTCCAGTTATTTGCTGGGACTTCTGACCTACTAGTGTGTCCCTCTGGGTGTGACAAGAGACTCTGTGCCCCTCAAGTCTGTGACTTCGCTACCTGGTGTCTCCTCCTTGTTCTGGAATAGAGTAACCAAAAGGCCATTTGTCTGAATGTAATCATCTCAAACTTTGTAGCTATCTCAAGCGAGAAAAACAAAACACCACAGACCACAAGCCATTGGGCCTGAAAACTTGGCCTTTGATGCTGGGGTTCCAAGGACCTTTACTGTCCCAGAGCAAGAGACAGCCTGTAAGTCTGGTTGGCTTCATTAAGAGCTTACCAAACACCATCAGGGTGGTGTGTAGGTCAGGGCCCAGGGAATCTGTCATTATTGCTGTCACCCAAAGTCTGTCAGAGTCCTGGTGGTTTAACCAGGGCCTTTGCTCTAACCACAGCTTCCAACAGAGCCGACAACCAGTGAGTGCTCCCAGCTCAGCACAGAACAGGGACACACTTAGCTCACTGCCTACCGAAGCCTACTGCCAAGCCAGGCCTGACACATGCTGTGCTGTGGTCTTGAGTTCACCGAGATTGGCAGGAACCGTGCTGAGCTGAACCTCTGCCACCAATCATGTGACAAGGTGGTCCATCGTGCTTTGGAACCTGTTGCCTAAGAGTTGAAATTTATTTATTGTATGTAAATGTTCAGATGCTAGACTCAGAGACAGCAGAGAGTCAGTCCCATGTTGGTCAAAACGATGACTCAAGCCCATGGGCATGAGGACACTGAAGAGAGCCACAGACCCCAGGATCCATAAACGTGACATTGGTCTTTGGTCTTCAGAGAAAACACGCAGTTCTCTTCCTAAAGTGAAGGCTAGCCAGAGGCCCAGCTGGCCACAGGTCCAACCGATGTGAGAGTATAATCAGCCAGCCTTTCTCAGGACACTCTGGGAGTAATGACCCATGGCATTGTCCAGAGCAGAATAGAATGGACAGCTTGCCTTATGTGACACTGGCCCAGGTCCAGCGTTAGGTCCAAATGCAAACCAGACACCTCTAGAGGGTAATTTGATCAAGTCAGTCCATAATGGAGGGAAACGCACCTAGAATTTCTGTGCTCAGATTTGGGAGGGGAACCATCAGGCTCCAGATCCTCTGCAGTTGGGGGTCTCGTCAGAGACCTCCAAAGTGCATGACTGCCACATGTCCCAACTGCCCCCACCACACACCAAGGACATGGCTAGGGAACAGGAAGTAAATAAAGAGCTTGCTGACAAGTGATGTGTTCATATAGCTTGTACGAGAATGCAGGGGTTGGGCAGTCAGAAGTGATGGGCTGGTGTGGGAATGTGGCTCTTGGTTTCTTAGTTGGCACTGATGGCTGAGGCCATGGTCAACAGTGGGTGAGGCCAATGGCCATCCTAACAGAGAGTACTAGGGTGTAGCCCAGGGTAGAGCACTGGTCTAGCATGCATGAAGCCCTGGGTTCCGTCTGCACTACATATGGCAAGTGAGTGAGGGCGGGAACAGGAACCAGCCAGTCTGATGTTAAGTTCTGCTCGAATGATATTTGTATTATAAGAATTTGTAATTCTTACATTTTGCTGGGCTCAGGCTCAGCACCTGGAGTTTACACCCCTGCCACTTCCAGAAAGCCAAGTCGCCTCTCTCAGTCTCAATTGGTTTCCCTGAAGACAGGGCCTGTCACAGAACAAACAGGTACTGGGAAGGCATGGGATCCTTCTGCATAGCAAAGCCACAGATGCCTGAGAGGCAGGGGCAGAGGAGGGTGGCTCATTTCCCTTTCTAAGAGGGCGCAGTGGTGGCAGCCTGACTGTGGGGTGTTGGCACACATGCCTGGTACCAGCTAACAGCCCCACAGAGCTGCTGCACTGGGAAAGGGAGAGTTATGCTCTCCCAGGGCCAAGACGATTCTCACCGTCCTCTCCATGCACTGCCAACTAAGCAGTTGCTGAGGGTCATTTCTGTGTATCATTAGGTCCGCTGGAGATGGAAAGAGGACCAAGTCAGGGCCTGCTACAGGAGAAATCCCCACTTTCCCCTCTCCACAGCTCTTCACGCCTCCCCAGCCAAGATCACACCAGTTACTTGATCAGCGTAAGGTCACCATCGGGTGCTTAGACCCTAAACCCCCTTCTTGTCCATTACCTCTCCAGAGTTACATGGGTCCTCTTTGGTGACAATTGACTGCGTGCAGCAGAGGCAGGTCTTCGGTGCCCCCCATCCCCACTCCACAGCGGCTACCTTCTCTGTTCCAGGGTGGAATGCAGACCCATCTACAGTTTAGAACTCATTACTGTTGTGGTTTGAATAGCTCTGCATAGAAGGGACAGCAAGGTCTTAGAGACAGTCAGCAGGTATGAGCCATGTTATGTGTGACACTGGTCTCTAGAAGAACCAGTTTGCAATTCCTGGCAACAGAACCCTAGGCACTGGATTTTGTTTGTTGTGCTGGGGAGGGAGCCCAGGCTCTTGAGCATACAAACACCCTACCACTGAGTCCCGCACTAACCTGTAACACCCCACACTAAGCCCATGAGTTTCAGGTCTGGCAAATCTCACCTTGAAGGCTGGACCCCTGACCCACAGCCTCCTGAAATCCTATCCTGTTGGTTCAGGTTTGTGCACATGACCCAAGTTCTTATTCTTGGACTACTGAGAAAGGGAAAGAGACGGCTAAGAAAGTCCATGAACCACAGGGGACTAGCCAGCCCCACTTGTGGAGTCCATCTGTCTCCTGATGCAACCTTGCTTGGAGCCAAACCTGCCTGTTGATTGTTAGTTTCCATGAGCAAAGAAAATGGCACTGATTCCTGAGCCAAGTGTGAGTTGCACTTTCTGTCCTATGCCGCCACCAAGTCCCAACCCACTCAGTCTCGTGCATGGGATGGGTCTCATGCTTGCTTCTAAGCGTAACCTGACTCTTCCATCAGGTGTGTGATGTCAGACGGGAAGACCCGTGCCAGTGTGCACACGCACGTTAATGCATACAGGCTAGCGGCCAAGGCTTGTCGAAGGATCCCCACCGCACTGCAAGCACCACCGCCAGCAGCCTTCCCCAACATTTACCTCCCTAGCCAGCTGCTGCTAACCGGCTGGAGACATGGGGAGCAGGACAGAATGAGGCCACATACATTAGAGCTGCTGACAGATGGCCGTGGACACACTCACGCAGATTGCAGTGCTAGGTGGCAGGAGATACACACACTGGACCGATAGCTTCCCACCACCCTCCCAGGTGACTTCTGGGAACTTCTCTTCCGCCTTCCTCCCCAACCCCACTTCCCACGTGAGTCAACCTGAGTTCAAGGTGAGGGTGTTGGGGAGGGGGCTGGCTCACTGCACTGCTGGGGATGGAATCCAGTGCTGCTGCACACTGGGCAAACGCTGTTGTTGAGTTCCGTCCCCTTGATAAGATCCTAGGCAGTCACTCTACCACTCAGACACCGCCTGTCCCCTACTAGTGGATTCTAGGCAGGTGCTCTGTCACCGAGCCATGCCCCTGGCCCCTCACTGAGGGGGTCTAAAGAGGGGCTCTACCATAAGCCACGAGCCAAGCCCCTCACTGGGGGCTTCTAAGCAGGCGCTCCGCCACTGAGCCACACCACCAGAGTGCAAACACGTTAAAAAAATAAATAAATAAATAAGGGGCGGAGCTCAGTGGTAGATGCTACTGTGAGTGAAACCCCGGGTTCCACTCCAGCAGCAGTGCTGGGAGCACGCACCCTTTGTCATTTCTCCTCAGCAAAGACTTGCTCAGTTCCCCCTTGGTTTACATTGTAGTCACTGTCACCCAGAGGCAGCTTAGGGTGTGAGGACAGCTACACCATAGGGACTCTAGTGTGCAAATCTGGGTGTCCTGCTGGAGCCTGCACACTGCGGATCTCCTAAGGTGTGTACATGTACCCGGCCCCGCCTTGGTGCTGAGGTCCAAAACACCTGATGTCCTGGGCCCTCCCAGAATGCCTTTTCCTGAGGTCCTGGGAGGACCAGCATCCTCTGGGCTTTAACAAGAGGACAAAGGCACTGAGCAAGTTGAGCAGGGTGGAGGGACACATGACACAACAGCCGCTCACTGTCCCTGGTAATAGGTGCTGTGATGGGAGCCCAGATGCTGAAGTTGCCGGCATTTTGGCAGCTGGGGAGGGAGGAGGTTGCAGCGCTGCCAGCAGCCTCTGCAGGCCTCTGGCCAGAGCCCCAAGCCATTGCTGTGGTATGCTGGGCCTGGCTGTAAGAAGGTGGGGCTGACAGGGACTGCCACTCGGCAATTCTGAAGCAGGCTCTGGGCTCCTGCCAGGGTTCAGAGGTGCCCAGGAAGAACATGAGGTGGTTTTCCCCTCACAAAGAGGACTGGTGGCGGGTGCCACACCACCTGCCACTCTCGTCTCAGAAGTCAGCGGTTGAGGGCTGGGAGCAGGTGTGTATACTGGGCAGAGGGTAGATGCAGACCGAGGATCCCAGTGTGTGACTCCCCCGAACTATTTACATCTCAAGACCCGTCAAGTAGACTCGCTCCCTTGTCTACTGCCAGGTCCATCCGCTGACTCTCCGCCCCCTCTGGGCTACAGACTGCAAGCCCTCCCCAGGGACAGCCACAGGCTTCCAGAAGCCACTACCACCACCACTCTCCCTGTTTCCTACCCGATTGGATGCAGTGACCTTCCAGCCAAGGACAAGCATGCTCTCATGCTCAGAGGCTCCTGGAAGAAGTTGGTAACTTCAGCAGCCTTACCAGGCCTGCCTCTCCCACAAGCCACCTAGCCCCCAAAGCACATTCAAGAGTTCAGTTTGCAGACACACAGACGTGGTAGAATCCTGCAGTGTCTGTCATGAATGAGTCAACTTATTGGCTTAACTGTCCAGAACTCCCCTTCGCAGCTCTGCAGGGCAGGAGTCCACCCAGGCCCCTGCTCAGGCTCTCAGGCAGGTCCACTCACTGCTTCCTGGCACCCAGTAACCACTGGCTTCCCTGTCAGCCTCCCTGTTCATACAGCCCCTCTCCTGGTGACTCATCTCCCTCTGTCTTGTCTCAGAAGCACCAAGGATGGCACTCAGGGCCTGCCTGGACACCGTGGGGCTACAAAGGACTGTTACAACATGTAACAGTCGGAGTCGGGGACAGGGACACATATGGGCCAGGAGCATGCCTCAGAATGGGGACTGCTAGGCAGGCTAGCAACTGACAGGGTGGGAAGCATGACTGAGCCGCCTGGAAAGGGCTAAACACAGCGGTGACACCAGAGTGGACAGCTCCAGCACAGCAGCAGGACTCCACCGGCCACGTCCTTGTCACGTGGAAGTGATGTCACTGGATGCACTCCAGTCTTTCCTGAGGGGTCCAGTCTTTCCCCAGTTGGAACGATGGTGACTCAATCCTGGGAACGTGGGCCCCACAGCTCATAGAGGGGCAGGTTGTGACCCCAGCAGGTTTGATACTCTTTCCTCCTGTGTCTCTGCTGTGTATAGTCTTTTGTCCAGGCCCACAGTGAGACTTGGGTGTCGACTATGAAGCTGTGGATAGAACTCTCTGGCAGATATTGCCCACGATGCTGCCATGGAGGGTGGCCTGGTACCCATCTAGTACAACGGGAGTCTGCCACAGCCTCGACTGTGGGAACATACTGCCTTTAGAGGTTTGGGCTTGGGACTCTGCACAAACTGTCCTCGAGGCCAGGTGCCCAGGACGCTGGAGTGGGAAGCTGGGGGATGGCTGTTTTTTCCCAGAATCTTCCAGGCCCAGTCACCGGTCATAGAGGCTGCAGCAGTGTACCATGTCTCCCTGGGACTCGAGGGGCCTTAGTGGAATCTCCATGTCACAAGCAGACAGAAGGCACAGAGGCCTGGGGTAGCTCAGTGTAAGTCCAACATCCTCAACTGGCTTGTTAGAAGGAGAGAAATGGAAGCAAGAAGTGCCTGCGGTGTTTCGGGACCTGAATTCGTGAGTTCGCCCTGGGATGCGATACGGATCTGAGGGAACGGAACTCCCAAGGTTCTTTGTGGCAGAAGTGGCATATACATGAAAAACAAAATTGTTGATGACAGCAGGAGGTCCAACTGGACTGTGATCAGGAATGGGGAGGGTCCTTTACCACCACCCCACACCCCTCCCTGCCTGTCCATACCCGAGTGAGCCATCCTAGGATCAGGGAACGCCTCTTACCTGAGATCCCAACTCCCCAATTGGCTGCAAAACACAAGCAAAACCATGGACTTCTGTCACATCCCCTCAAGAGGCTGCACAGTAAGGGTTGGGGCA